CATGGTATAACTCGATCCTTAAACTTAACGAGCTTCATGAATCTTACGAGAAGCTTTTGAAAGAAGGTGAAGAGAGGCTTGTGAGAATCTATGAATCCGCCGAGAAGAACGCGGCGGCTGTGGCGGAGGAAGAAGCTTCGGTGGTTGAAGTTAATGAAGAGGTTGTTAGTATATTGCAACAAGCTTCTGATGATAATCCGATTGATCGTGTTGATTTGTCTGGTCGGAAATTGAAGTTGCTCCCTGAAGCATTTGGTCGGATTAAAGGTCTTCTTGTTCTTAATCTTTATAACAATCAGCTTGAGGTCAGTTTCTTGATCCAAATGGAAACTTTTATCTGGATTGATTCTTGTGTTGATGTTCTTGATATGTTTGTGTGTTAAAAATGGAAACTTTGATATGGGTTTTGAGTCTATAGGTAGATTCTTAGGTATTGGTATTGGATAATTTGGATTGATTCTTGTGATTATGTCTACATTGATACCACTGAGATAGGTTTTGTGGCTATAGGTAGATTCTTAGATAGGTTCAAAAGTGTTTTTGTGGCTTGTTTTGATCAGAGATTATGTTTGTATCAGGCAATTCCTGATTCGATTGCGGGTTTGCAAAGCCTACTTGAACTCGATGTTTCCACGAATTTGCTCGAGACATTACCCGATTCGATCGGTTTATTGTCGAAATTGAAGATTTTGAATGTCTCTTGTAACAAACTCACAACTTTACCAGATTCGATTGGCCATTGTGGGTAAGTGTTTTTTGTCTTCAAAGTTTTGATGATTTTCCTCTGTTTTGTTAAGCACTACTCTGTTTCTTTCTTACGTTTTCTAGATCACTGGTTGTCTTGGACGCGAGCTACAACAATCTTACTTACTTACCAACCAATATCGGGTTTGAGTTAATGAATCTTGAGAAGCTCTTGATCCATCTCAACAAAATCAGATCCTTACCAACTTCCGTTGGCGAAATGAGATCTTTACGCTACCTCGATGCACATTTCAACGAACTCAGCGGTCTCCCAAACTCTTTCGGGTTGCTCACAAACCTCGAGTACCTTAACTTGAGCAGTAACTTCAGCGATCTCCAAGATCTTCCTGCTTCGTTCGGAGATCTCATAAGCCTCCAAGAACTAGACTTGAGCAACAACCAAATCCATTCACTTCCGGACGCTTTTGGCACGCTCGTGAACCTGACCAAACTGAATTTAGACCAAAACCCGCTAGTGGTCCCTCCCGAGGAAGTTGTGAAACAAGGCGTGGATGCGGTTAAAATGTATATGGGTAAGAGATGGATCAGTATGTTGGAAGAGGAAGAGAGATTGGCGAACATGAAGGATGAGATGGATCAGACAAACACCGATTGGCTCACTCGAACAACATCGAAGCTGAAAACGTATGTTACCGAGGTTTCGGAGTATCTTGGCTCGAATTCGCCAAAAGATCCTTTCCTTGACCAGCAGCTATGAAATGAATATAGATTTTGCTCTTTCTTTGTTTATGTTTCTTGTCTTTTTAATCGCTATCTTTCTCATAACG